TGGGAGAGCCACGGAAATGGGGTCTGGTGTCTGATGTGGGCAGGACAGACGGATGGGTGCCGCTGCTGAGGCTCTGGCCTTGAACTCCAAAGTCCAATTCCCTGCCCTGTCTAGGCCAAGGCCCAGGAACCAGAACCTTGTTCAGGGCCTGGGAAGAGGAGGGACGCATGATGAAGGCCAAGAGGGCAGGGGATGGGGCACAGGCTGTCTCTTCCCTAACATTGTCTTCTCCTGCCCGGGGCCAGCCCAGACCTCTTACCAGTTTCCCTCTCCACGGGCCCCTCATCCATCCCTTCTTCCTGGCCGCTCGGGCAGGGGTAAACCTTGTCCCCACCGCACACACCCCAGGCAGCTTCCTCCTCATGCCTTCCTCTTGCTTCCAGCACCTCACCATGACCCTGGCAGCCCTGCTATGGGCCTCACTGGGTCCCTCCTCTCCTAATCTCCCAGCCCTGGAGGGCAGACCCCAAGGAAGGGGAGACACTGAGAAGAGGCTGGGATGCAGGGGTGAGCAGGGCACAGGGCAGACAGTGCAGGGGCAAGGAGGCCGCATGCACGGCAGACATGCTGGCAGGAGCCCAGGAACGTTAGTCACCAGCCACGCCAGACACACTCCCTGCTCTTCTCCCGTCCGCTTCTCCTGGGCGGTGCAGAGCAAAGGGGTCTGGCGCAGGAAACATCTGAAGGGCAGGCCCTCCCTGGGGCAGGCAGATGCCTGATAGCCCCAGCCCATCTCCTGGCCCTCAGGCAGCTACAGATGGGGACAGGAAGTCCTCCATGATCAACCCCCTTCTTGGCTGCAGGCACTCTGGAAGCCCTCCTTCTAGGAGACCAAGTCTCTGTAGGCCCCAGTCTCGAATGCCGAGACTCTGTGGGAAGTGTGACCATCCGTGGCACAGATCCCCCTTCTGCCCCCTCCACCTCCCCAGTGTCCCATTCGTGCTCCTGCCCCAGGGTAGTATGGGTAAGACCCAGGCGCTTGGCTAAAAGGACACCCATCGGTGGGAGAGTAATGGGTGCCGAGGAGAGGGAGCCCAGCAGCTTGGGATGAAGTGCTGCAGACAGTACGTGCCTGGCTGCCGAAATCCAGGGGCAGTTAGTCCAACGGGGAGAACTAGGAAGGGAGGGGACAGTGCCGGGTTAAGGTGAGAGCTTCCTAGCCAAGCAATGGTGGGCTTGAGTCTCTGCACCCTCGACTTATGGAGTGACCTTGGCCAATCACTTGCCTCTCTTGCCTCTGTTTCTCCATCTGTAAGGAGGTTGGCATTGCCCCTCCCCAGCACTGCTGGTGACAGAAGATGAGGTGGAAGTGCTCAGCACAGGGCCTGGTGTGAGGTGGGGCCCAGGGCTCCAGGGAGGGCAGTAAGGAGGCCATGACGGGGCTGGGGGGTGTCTGTAGGATTGGAGAAGGCCCATGAGGAAGGAACACAGGTTATGCCTGCAGGAGGCCGGACCGGAAAGGCAGGCTGGGGGAGGGGCTGGGTGGAAAGGGGGCCTTGAAGGGCAAGTAGAGGCACCTGAGGACCCGTGGATGGCAGTTGGCAGGGTAGACATGGCTTGGCAGAGCTGGCCTGGGGTCATCTGTCCCCTTGAGGCAGAGGTACAGGATCTCCCAGATTCTCCCTGATATACACAAACAGCAGAGACCCCCAGGGCCTGCAGGAGCACTGAGGCTGGGGGCATCTGTGGACTTGAGCACCTAAGGGTGGAAACTGGGCAGCTGCAGGCTCTAGCCCAGCCCTGTCAGAGAGAGGAGGAGGAAGACAGACTGACAGGCAGCCACCAGGGCAGGGTTCTGGACTTGGCATTTGCCTGCTCCATCAAATGGTGGAGTCTGCATTGACAGTAGGCAACTGGGGGTATTCAGGATACAGGGGGCAGGGGAGTCCCTTTTTCTGCCCCTCTTCCCTGCAAGCCCTTCAGCTTCCTCTGTGCAGGCCAGGAACTCAGGGAGGCCAGAGTGGTGGGGCTCGGGGCCAGTGGCAGTAGCAGTTGCCACAGAGGACAGACACTGCCCCCCTCAAAGTGACCTTCAGCCCGTGTGCCCCCTCTCTGAACTCCTGCTCCCTGAGACCTGGCATTCCTGGGGGCCTGCTGGGGACTCTGGCCCTGATGCAGCTCCACGTGCCCGGGCCAGGGAGGGGACTGGGGTTTCAGGCTGGAGGCGGCAGGTAGGAGACAGTGTCAGCCTGGAAACCCGGAGGCCCTGCCAGCCCTTCCCGGGCCAGGCATCCGCATGCCAAGATGGAGCCCAGCAGGCTGCCCCAACCTCACAGGGCAGAAACAGCGAGGCTTCTGGGGAAGTGCACCCAGCTGGGGTGTGCCCATGGCAGCAGCAGGGAAGTCACAACCCTCACCCCACTCGGGGAGCCCCCGGCAGAGCCACCCGGGCAGGAGTCACATTCCCATCTCACAAATGAGGCTCTTGAGATTCAGAGAGGGGAGTGCCTCGCCCAGGACACTGGGCTGACACACGGCAGAGCCAGATTCCAAACACAGGCCTGCAGCCACTGGCACCAGGGAAGGTGAACCTGGAGTCCCAAACTCACCTAGTCCTCCCTCTCCTTCCGGCTCTGCCTGAACGTCTGGGGGGTTCTAATTTATAGCATCCTGTTCTGAGCCAGGCCCAGCCCGGCCAAGCCCTTACACACCTGATTTTCTTATTTAGTCTTTTCCGCAGCCCCATCGTACAGGTGAGCAAACACCCGCTCAGGGCCACCCAGCAGGGATGTAGGAGAGCTGGGATTTGACCCCGAGTCTGTGTGACTTGGAGCTGATTCTCTGGCTGAGAAGGTGATCCCTGAACTTGGCCTCAAGGGTCAGCAGGTGCTGGGGCACCGCTCTTGGCAAAGGTGAAAATACAGAGCAAGACTGAGGTGTGAGCTGGACGCGCCAGGGAGGAGGGGCTGAAGGGATCTTGGATGAGGAAGTGGCAGTCTTTGGATCAGTCTAGTGGTCTTGGGAGGTTAGTCCTGCCTGAGAAAGGGTCGCCTCTGGGCCTGTTGCCTGCCCACATTCCCCAAGATTCATCTGCCCTGGAACTGTCTCCTATTGAGCCCAGTGCGTTTTCTCGGGACTTCCAGAAGGAGGTCAGGGGTTCCAACTGAAGCAGCCCTGGGCTCTGGAAGCCACACCTGGTCCCTGCCAGGGTGGGAGGGACAGCTTGGACCCCAACTCCTTGCAGGAGAGAGAGCCAGCACCCATTACAGCCCCACTGTGGGTTCAGAATTTTGCCATCTCACCCTGAGGACCCAGAAAGGTAGGGTGCCGCCCTGGGTTCCCACTTCCCAAACCAGGCCGTGACATGGGGGGGTCTGAGAACGGTTCCCCCACCCCTGACCTCGGCTTCATCCCCTTCACCTGTGGTGGCCCAGGGGGAGGAGGGGGTCCTTAGGGGCTGCACAAGGGGACAAGAAGCATCCTCAGCCTCCCTTCTGCTTCTTGCCTGCTTGGGGAGTAAAAGTGAATGCTCGCCCTTGCTAGGATCGTTTATAAACTAAGAGTAAGTGGGCTCTGAGTGATGGCCCCCCATCAAGTGGAACGTGAACTTCTGCTCACTCCTTTGTCTGTGCTCCAGATGGGTGGGTTCCCTGCACCAGCCATTCATTCACTTAACCATTTATTAGCAAATGGTTATACCTGAAGAACAGACACTGTTCCAGGTCACGGAGACACAGTGGTAAACAAGACACACCTGGTCCCTGCTCCCAGGGACTCATAGTTCACAATCCAGTGTGGTTAGGAAGGAATCCTTGGGGAAGAGTGGGGTCTAAGAGAGCCCAGAGGAGGGCCAGAGTTGGCTGGCGGGGGCAGGAGGGCACCAGGGATGTGATGCCACCCATGCTGGGAACCAGGGGTCCATCAGAGGTCACTACGGTGGGGGGAAAGCATTCCAGGCCAAAGGAGCCTCATGTGTAAAGGCCTGGAGGTGGAGCAGCCCTGGTGCCCATCAGGACTGAAAGAGCCTCTTGGGCTGGAGTTCAGGACGTTTGAGGTGGGCAGAGCCTGTGGCTGGGTCAGGAGGACAATGGTGCCAGCCAGAGACCTAAGTATGTTGTGGAGGGGTGGGCAGGAGTGTGCCTGGTTGCATGGTCAGTGCCTGCATCTCTGCGCAGAGACTCCCAGGTGATTGGAATCCCCTCAGCAACCTCCGTAACTGCTGGGCCTCTGCTCATACATGTCTGGGGGTGGGGTGCTCACTGTCTCCTCAGTAGCCCTGGAAAACTTAGACGGGAGTTGGCCTGGAGTTCCTAGAGGCTGGGGTTCACAGAAGCCCCGGAGCCTGGCCCAGCTCTCCCTTCCCAGCTGCTCTCCTGGCCATGGGGCCACTGGTTAGGAGACCAGGTTCTCAAGCCCTATCTTGGATGGGTAGGGGGCAGTCCAGAGTCAGAGGTCTGGGGGTCTAGGCAACTCAAGTGTGGCCCACTGTCCCTGTCTTAGCACGTGTGTCAACTGGTGGAAGCTCTAGGCCTTAGGTACAGACACCAGGTAGGAAGAGCTTGATGAAGTTTGGGGTTCCAGCCCAAGCGACCTTGCTGTGTGGCTTGAGACACATGGCCACCCTCTCTGGGCTGTAGTGGGTCCAGCAGAATCAGGGAATGACCCCAAGTTGCAGGATTCTACCATCAGTTTCAAGGGTTCCCAGACCCCTAAGGCCAGGCCTGGGCCAGCCTAACTCTTGCCCTCACCAGAAACAGCCCTGACCCCACACTGACCCTGGGCTGGCCACCTAGCCTCTCTGGGCCTCGTTTTCTGGGTATGCAGCGTGGGGGCGTCTTGTCTGTCTCTACTTCCAAATCCATGCACGCACATGCACATGCACAAGCACACACACGCATGCACAGGCACACGAGCTCACTTCTGCTTGCTGAAGCCCCACCTAGGGGAACAGTTTAGGCAAAGGTGAATTGAACAAGGAGACCCCCGGGAGCTGGAGCAGAGAGGGTGAGGGTGGATTGAACAGGAAATGCTCTGTAGGACCCTTCTTGGGCTGAGTAACCATGAAGGAACAGCAAGCAGAGAAACACATAGAACAAAGGTGAATGGAGAGAGGTTAGAACCTCTCAACCCACAACAGTTCCTGGACGTCCTTGGTGAAACTCTTTATCTTCACACCATTACCACCCATTTTACTGTGGGTAAGACTGAGGCTGACCCAAGGTCACTTATCGGGTTGCTTGTTCCCAGGCCCCCAGCCCAGTGCCTTGCTCCCCACCCCTGAGTCACCCAGGTTCTCAGGCCTCAGTCTCCATACAACTAGGGGGAAGAATGACCCCCCGCATCTGAGCTGGCCTGGGCCTGCTGCGGCCCCTCCATCCATCCTCCAAACCTTAGGCTCCAGGAGGCTGTCTGCACCAGGCCGTCAGCCCATTAGCCGGAGCTCTGGCTGCCTCACGTGGGCTCTGTTAACAGTGTCGCTGGGTGTTAACGAGCTGAGGGAGGGGGCGGGTGCGGTTGGGGTGAGGGGAGCGGGATGGAAGGAGTTGGGGGTGGGCAGGGAAGCCTTCCAGCTCATAGAGGTGATCAGCATCCTGGCTGGCAGCATCCTTCCCTGCACAGTGGGACCCGTTGTACTGGCCACATGGGGTCGTCGTGAGCACGTCTGGAGAGGCTGTGGAAGCCTGGCACGCGGAGCTGAGAGCCCTGGGGCGGTCTCATCACTGCTGCGGCCCGGGCACACCTTTGCTGCCGGCTTGGCCTGCCCCGAGCCCCAGGGCAGCAGCACTACAGGGGACTCTTGGGCCACCTGCCAGTTGTCTCTGACCAGACCTGCAGGCTCTGGGGTGGATTCCCCATCCTGGGCTCAGGCTGCAGGTTCTGGGATCCTGGGGGTCTGGGAAGTGGGGTCTGGAGGATAGGAGTGAGGTCCCAAACTGCTCTGCTCCTCCTACAGAGATCCGAGAGGCCTTCAAAGTCTTTGACCGTGATGGCAACGGCTTCATCTCCAAGCAGGAGCTGGGCACAGCCATGCGTTCCCTGGGCTACATGCCCAACGAGGTGGAGCTGGAGGTTATCATCCAGCGGCTGGACATGGATGGTGAGCACCCTCCCGCCTCAGTCTCCTCACCCCTCACCTGGGGGGGCCGAGCCTGGGGCTGAGCCAGCGAGCCTGAGCCCACTGGGGGCCTCTCACTCTCCCCACTCCCAGCCACCTTCACACCCAAGGCAATTTGCAGCCAGGTCTGGCCCCATTTCTCAGCCTGGAGAATTGAGACCAGAGAGTGTGACAGCCCCAGCCACACCAGGGAGTGGAGACTCCGCCCCTCTTGCCCCGTATTCCAAGAAATTTTTAAAGTACAGAAAAGTAGGACGGATATACTAAATACCCTAGTTCCCGTCACCGAAAATAAAAAATCATTTCGTTGAATTTGCCACCTGGCATTTTATTAAGGAAAAACTCATTAGAACCAGTAATGCCCAGTCCCCTCCTCTCATCCCTCTGTGGCCTCCTCCCCTGCCTCCTCTCCACCCAGAGAGCAGGTGGGGGCTCGTGTAGGTGGTTCCCCATCCCGAGCTTCACTTCCTGTCCGTGTGGTGGAGAGGGTGTTGGGCCCCACACTGGCTCTGGGACAGCAGCAGGTGCTGAGAAGCTGTGTTGGGTTCGGAGTGAATCGTGTCTCCCACAAGCGAGGCCCAGCTGCTGCCTTGCTGGGTGGGGCCTCAGCACACTTGGTGGCTTCAGCATCAGCCCAGAGCCTGGCACATTAGGTGCCCCCAAAACTGACTCAAGGCTCCAGGGAGGGGCCCTGCCTGAGGTCCCACAGTAGCCCAAGGTGCCTGGGTGTAGCCTCACCAGCTGACTGGCCTGCACCTGCTCTAGGTGATGGCCAAGTGGACTTTGAGGAGTTTGTGACCCTCCTGGGACCCAAGCTCTCCACCTCGGGGATCCCAGAGAAGTTCCATGGCACTGACTTTGACACCGTCTTCTGGAAGGTACATCCTGGCCGACTGGGACCCGGGGCTGTGTACACAATGGAGGGCTGTAATAGGGCCCACACTGTAAAGGGGGGTGACACCTTCAGGCTTCTGTCCACTGATGTCCTGTCTCCCAGAGGGCCATAGGCTTCCAGGGGAGGCCAGTGTTGGTCGAGGACCCAAGGAATAGAATGAGTGCTTCCCAGCCCTCCTGAGTCTGGAGGCTTGTGTGGCCACGGGTGCAGGGTGGGGCCCATGGTGGTGCTGGCGGCCAGAGCACTGTGTCTCCCCCTACCCAAGTGCGACATGCAGAAGCTGACCGTGGACGAGCTGAAGCGGCTGCTCTACGACACCTTCTGTGAGCACCTGTCCATGAAGGACATCGAGAACATCATCATGACGGAGGAGGAGAGCCACCTGGGCACGGCGGAGGAGTGCCCCGTGGACGTGGAGAGTGAGTGCCCCACCCCGGGACCCCGCGGGCGGGCCAGCTGCTCGGGCAGGGGAGGGGCCTGGGGGGCCTCCCAGCCTGTCCCCCACCTCGTGTCCCTGTGTGCAGAAGTGCAGGTGACCCCTGATTCCTTCGCTTCGCTGTCCCCTTCTGTCTCTCTCTCTGATGCTCCGGGCGGGCGGCCACAGCCTGCTCCAACCAGCAGATCCGCCAGACGTGCGTGCGCAAGAGCCTGATCTGCGCCTTCGCCATCGCCTTCATCATCAGCGTTATGCTCATCGCGGCCAACCAGGTGCTGCGCAGCGGCATGAAATAGGCGCCACCTGGGCGCCCCGTCTGGCCCGCGCGGTGCATGGGGCCCACTCCACATCCACCGCCGCCTGCAGTCCTCTCCCTCAGTGTGTACTTCAGGGCCTGGACGTCCAGCAGCCCCACCCCACCCGCCTCACAGGCCTTGCATGGAGCTGTGGCCTGGCTGTGGGGGGCCTGGTGGTGACTCTGAGGACGGTCCAGCCCCACCTGCACCCTGCCCGCGCCCCACCCTGGTCTGTATGTAGCACTAACGCTTCCCACTGTCCAGGGGCTCCTGGGAAATCAAGGAGGAATTTGTACAGGGCCCAGTAGCTGCTGGGGTCTGTTAGGCAGGAGAGGGTACCGTGTGCCCAGGACCACACAGCCAACCCATCCCTGTTCCTGGGGCCACAGGGGGAAGTGTGGGGGGCAGAAGCCTCCTTCTGAAGGGGGACATGATGAGGCTGAAGTCTCCTGGCCCTACTCCCTGGCATGGCCTGAGGAAGCCCCTGGCCTTCTGCTGAGTCCCCTCCTCTGACCCTCCTTAGACTCGAACCCAGCTGTCCTCCACACACCTGCCGGGGCTAGAGAATCAGCCCATTTCAGAGATGAGGAGCCTGAGGCTCAGCGGGCTCCCAGATTTGGCCTCAGTTCCCCCATCAGTGGGGATTTTTAGGAAGGGCAGAAGCTCATAGAGCATGGAGCATCTGAGGTGCCGCAGCAGCCACCCTACCCTTTGGG